ACTGCCGGCTCTCAAACTGCCAGACCCAACTGCCAGCTCTCAAGCGGCCAGGTCTAACTGCCGGCTCTCACACAGCCAGACTTAACTGCCGGCTCTCAAGCGGCCAGGTCTAACTGCTGGCTCTCAAGTGGTCAAACGGCCGCGCCCGTTGCTACAGAACGAAGCAGTTTCCGAAGCCAAGTTTTCTTTTACCCTGATGAAATCTTCTACCTTTATGAAATCTTCCAACCGCGTGGAGCGTCAGGCAGCATGAACGAACTTTTGCACATAAACTCAAGTTCAAAGACCGATTTTCATTACAACTTAATCGTGTCATAGGCGCGCGGCCTGAAAGAGAAGTTTATTCCACGAGCCCAGCAGCTTCGTAAGTTGTGAGGAGGAATTTACTTGAGCGAAGGTCTTTCTCTTTGGATTTAGACCATCTTGCAATAAAATTATTATAACTAAATTATAGTTAAATTTAGCTATTGAAGCTTATAATATACACCAAAATAATAAACCACAATTATATTGCGAGACATATAACGGGCACTTCCTCACGTTCTGTAAAAATATAGTTGAATGTTCCTAAAAATAAACTGTGTAAAGATTTTATCGTTTATTATTGCATATTTAAACGCATTACCTGAATTAAATACCTTGGAACATCGATTGATCAAGCATCGAATGATCGGTTTCTTACAGAAATATCAATAAAAAATCAATCAAATATAATACACGTATTACCCTAAATTATTAAACTTAAATATTTCAGATATCTTAAAATAATTAGGTATGAACACAGCAAAATTCAAAAATTTAAATTGCCCTTTAGAAGACGATAAACTAACTGGTGATGAATTAAAGCGTTACTTTCATGGAATATTATTATTGCCCCTTCGAAAAAACAGGCCCACGAATAAATCTCGAGCTCCATGATTAAGCTTGTCAGTCAAGGCTCCAGGCGAGACTGAAATATTTTAAATCACAGTTCTTTGAGGGCACTTCTGAAGAGGCACTTCTGAAGCGATATTAGCCAGTTCAGTAGGTATCAATGGAAGTCGGTTCAAGCCAGGGCCGTAAATTCAAGGCCATCACTGTATAACATTTGGTTGCCTGGGAAATTTGCTCAGTTCATGTCGGATGATGCATGGTTGAATTTTGTATTAATTCAACCATGGAATGATGAGCCTCAGTGCCTGCAGCAATATTTCCATATGAGGAAGAAATATAATTTAAACTTGTAGGTATATTTGCAAAATCCTGCTACGTGTATTTTTTATTCTTCCTACCGCAGTCAAACATAGACAAAGGTAGCTAAATTTTAAGCAGTATTTTATGAATTTCAAATTCATGGTTAGTAAAGTGAAGCAACTAATCGAAGTTGAGTCTACAACTGCAGCTATTTATTGTATAATTAAAGTATTGATCCCTCATCGATGAATAATGCATCTACAGTTCTACACTATGTTTCAAGCATCAATTCTACCTCATTCTATTCATTCAATGCCGCTATAAAACAAAAGTGACATATAAAATGTGCATACATGACCGAATGGATATACATGTATCCAGGAGGATAATCATCAAATTATCTGAATACCAATGCATCCAAACACTTACCGTGAGTATTTTTAAAAACTCAACGTATCATTAGTAACAAATGATTGCACTCGCTGCAATGCTAATGAAGGCCAACTGTAGCAGGAGATGGATTAAAACTTCGTGATTTTATTGACTCATTATTTTATTTTAGGTCAGTTGAAGTGCTGTAAATAATGTTGGTCTAGGCTAAGACACAAATATTCACATAAATATAATAAAAAAATTTGATGAACCATAGTCTATTATCATCAAAATGGAAGTAGAAATTTGTTGTTTATAATACTAGAACAAAGCTGGCATTCTTCATTATTCTTTACATGCGTTCTTGATGAATTCTTACTCTATATAAAATAAATTGAAGCCTCATGTAGCAGCAGCAGTGAGCAAATGTTACCAGATATTGCCTACTCGGCGACTTTCTAAACGTTTGCACCAAGCCGTTACAGAAAAAGCATTTCCTTTGAGCAGAAGCGGCAGCTTTTAGGGGTCACTGAACCATGCGATCGAATCTTCGCCAGCTTTTCATAGACGGCGCAAGTTTTAAAATTGGAGTTTCTGAAATGCTGTCTATTTGGAAGCGATTTGTACGTATTGCCTTGACAAGCTTCGATTCTGCTTCATCATTTTGCGAGGACTGCATCGCTAGTGCACTGTAAAAACGATCGTAATTTTAAATAACGTTCGCGATCAGAACACAGCTTGCTAGAAGTTTGACGCACAAACACTTGTAAATTTAAGGTTTTCAAGTTGCTTCGCTATTAATTTAGTGTAAATAAGCACTTATCCTGAATCCTATTGATGTCATTGCGGTTAGAATTTGCCCTAATACTAAATAACTAATAATTAGCATAATTTTTTCAATTATTCGTGGATGAAACTGAGCTATCCCGAGTTGAACATAATCAGAATAGCCTTGGTTGGAAAGAAGAAAACAAAAGTAAATCACACTCATATTTGTGGCTTCCTGTTCTGATCCCACCAAATTATTACTCATACGGTTGCAGTCATATAATAAGGTCGTTCCCAATCCAACCCGAAATACGCGATCATTATTCCTTTTGCGGAGGCAGAAGGATTAATGTCAACATTGTTTCAATCAAAAGAGTTAAATTGAGAACGCTTATCCTGAACTAGGTCTAAACTACCGCTGTAACAACAGTGCGGTGAATGCGCCGCTAAAATTTCCATTATTAAATAACCAGATTCATTGCTTAATTTCTTAAATGATTCATAAAAAATCAATAGTTATATTGATAGGATGGACTCCCATCGTAAGGGGGAGACTCTAATAGCTAACGTTTAGATCAGAGTTAATATTATTTAGCTAACCGGTGTTGGTGAATCCAGACGTGTTTATACCTGCCGTGGCCGGGGACTCCCGACAACCTCTTGTTGTGTAGACTAGCTTTTCTTCAGCAAAAAACTTATTACTTTCAAACTTGTTCTCAAAACTTTGGCAGATTAGCAACTTTTGACATTGAAAGCCTTTGAACACCGGCAGATTTTCGGAACATAAAATATTTTTACGGAGCCTGATAAGCCTACAAAGAAGCCTCAGTGTGTAGAGCGGTTCAGAAGTAAAATCTACTAGCGTGAATTACGAATATAAATGTCTAAATAAAATTTTATCATCGTTTCACAAAGATCTGATCGTCATTATTTTGTAAACGTGGAAATGCAGATATCTAAATCAAGCCGTTTTGAGTGAATATAAATTAATTCAGGCGTCACGGAAATACACATACACTACATCTATAGCAAGACGCTCATTAAATGAATAAAGACTTATCACAAAACTCCTCTAAAATATTGAGATATGAAAGACTCAAACCTTCTATAACACATTGCAATAGTCGCTTCCAAAGAAACATCATTAGCTGCTGTATGCCACAGTAAAATTTTTCAATAGCATCTTAATATAACATAACATAGCGATGTCGGCGCTGAAGAGTAGGCCTGATGTGGCCTGTCGCCGATTCTTACTTTTCGTGCCTTGTTCATAGAAGATCTAAACTCGTGTCATTTGACCGGATCTTTCCAGGACTGACGATAGTTTGAAATAACTACTAGACTTCCACCGGGTTCGATATGGTGCTAGGCATTTCAAGTTTTTTTACACTAATTTAATTCCTGCTTCATTCGTGTATTAAATTTGTTCCGGTCAAATTCTAAAGTATTATTAATTTATAATTTGACCAATCAATTATTATTTTCGGTGATTCGTTAAGTCGGCTTCATAGTTTGAGGCAAATGTCGACATGAACTCTGTGCTGGCAAGATTTTAAGAAAATTATTGTAATTAAAAACGGATTTTTAATATAGTTAATCATTCAGATATTGTGATGAAAATCCTCAAATATTCATGCCCATCCTAAAAAAATGAATATTAAAGCATACAAGAATAAGGCAAGAACTAAAAAATATAACTCAGTACGCACTGCAGTGAGTGACAGAGAGCGCATTTTCTCGTCGACGAAAACTTGAGGTCACGGATAGACGGACGGACATGGCGAGCACAATAGTGCATTTTTTCCATAAATGAGAAAATGCGCTAAAAATAATTAACTTATGAAGCAACATTATTAGTTTGAAAGGACAACAACATCGACGCGTGAATCCACGATGCACAATCAATCAACGAACGATCTAGATTCTAGACCTTTACAACCTATAAGTTTTAATTAGGCTTTGCCATCAAAGTTTTCCGTTAGTTTATTATCTGGGCAAAAATTTTCTATCTACAACAGAAACTTACCCCACTCTGCTACAGGAAATTTTTCCTCTAAGCCTTCCACTTATTTTTTTCCATTTGCTGTATGCAACGGGATAACTTCCTTCTAAGCCTTCGACTTTTTTTTCTGCTACAAGCATATAGCTGACCAGAGCAGCACTGGAGGTTATTCCTGGCTGGGTTGAAAAGCTCCTCAGAACTACTAGAACTTCCCAGCCAAAGTTTGAAGTTCATGTTACTTTAAAAACTCGACGGGGAAATGGCCTAGTTCTAATTGCAGCAGCTGCTGCCATTACACCCATGGCGGGTGGAAGGAAGGAAGTCTTTACGGTCATGTTCCCTTGCTCCATTTTACAGCAACTACTTGAGACTTACACACTTTTTCATTGCTAGCACTCTTATTCTTTTTCGCGATCTAAACGCGAGTCTGGTTAAAACAACAATGTTTAGAAAGTTTTTATTACTTCAAAAGCCCCGTTTCATTCTGAATTGTAATTCTTCATCCACTATGAGTATGAAAAAAATGTCGATACACCTTTCTGTTAATTGAGTAAATATTAGAATCAGTATGCCGGATTTATCCCGTGAAACTCAAAATTTAATAGCCTTTTGCTTCAACTCAAACGTCGAATATCACGATTTCGTTCGTTCAGAACGTTTGCGAAGGATAGTAACGAAACTGCAGACCGGGCTCAACATATTTTCTTCTAAATGGAACCTTTGCTGAAGTTCGTGAAACCAGAACCCACGCAAGTGAGAATCAGTTTCTCGCAGCCAGTTTTTCTTCGCTTATTCCCTCTCTCTTCCTCATCGTCATCATCGCTCAGTTCATCATCGCGAGGCTCGGGCTCCATCTTGAACTTGACCTTAAGGAAGTCGCGGATGTGGCGCAGCATGTACATACTGAAAAGAAACTAGTATAAATATATGCACAATATCCTAAACGTCGAGGAAATATGAGATGGATGTAATAATGAATGGATGAAACTAGTATAAATATATGCACAATATCCTACACCTCGAGGAAATAGGAGAGGGATGTAATAATGTATCGATATACCGTACGAGAAATTATTCTGTGAACGTCGAGCTGGATATTAAATTTATTTAGAGTACATTAACACTGCCTGCTGTGCTTCCTTTTTTACATTGGGTTAAACTCTTCAGCACGTAGCATTCACCTTCTCAATTGCGTTTTCATTACTCGTAACATAACGTTAACTTAGAGCGAGCAAACAACAGATTGCGAATAATTTTTACTGCTCGTTATAAATTGTGACAAACTTATGGATGTTTAGTAGGCGCTCTGAACTTACGCCTAGTACGAAATTCTACTATAATGTCATGCTCACGACACGACAGAAAAGCTTTTTATTTCTAGAACTTTAATGACGCTTGCGACTTGCGGTCGTCTCTTGATGCAATTTGCATACGAAATTATGCCATGTTTGACCACGTAACGGTACCATGGATAATTTATTAAATCATTGTGATTTCTTTTTATTTCTATAATGACTTTGTGAGATGTAACAATGTTTTGTAATATTGCTTCGAGATGTAATAAAGTTCTGAACCAATATTCAGTACATTCTTCCCACCTGATGCGTTGCGGTCTTTTAGCAGCGCTCAACAGATCTTGTAACTCACGATTGAGTGGTGATGTTATAATATTGTAAAATATTACGTCGTGATGAAATAAAGCTCTGTATTCAATCCATACTTCCCAATCAGGTAATGACCCTCTAACAGATCTTGTAACTCACGATTGAGTGGTGATGTTATAATATTGTAAAATATTGCGCCGTGCTGAAATAAAGCTCTGAACTAATATTCAGTCCATACTTCCCAATCAGGCAGTGGCCCTCTAACGGATCTTGTAACTCACGATTGAGTGGTGATGGTATAATATTGTATAATATTACGTCGTGATGAAATAAAGCTCTGTATTCAGTCCGTACTTCCCAATCAGCCAGTGGCGCTCTAACGGATCTTATAACTCAGGATTGAGTGGTGATGTTATAACTTATAATATTGTAAAATATTGCGTCGTGATGAAATAAAGCTCTGAACTAATATTCAGTCCATACTTCCCAATCAGGCAGTGGCCCTTTAACGGATTATTTATTTATTCTAGCGTTATTTATTATAACTCACGATTGTGTGGTGAGAGGTCCGATGAGGATCTTTGAGACGTCTCTGGGGGTGAGCGCCATGAAAAGCAGCGCCGCCGCCTGACTGCAGCCGTCGACAACACCGCCCCTCTTGATCTCCTGCAGCAGCTGACACACCGCCAGCTCCCCTACGTCCTCGGGAGACATTAGGCGCCTGTCTGACCTCTCCTCGAGGTTTGTTGAAACCGTTTCCACGTCCTGACATGTGATAGCCTCACCAGTGAAGATGGTGCTCGTGGTTGTAATGCAATTCAGAGAAATTCCAAAACCTGCAACACGAAAATCGTTTAGAAATTCCATTAAAATCTCATTTATATTACAGTTTAGGTACAGGTTTCACGTCAAACTGATTAAAAATTTATTCTGGCGTGCATCAAATTAATATACAGCAAAACTTGGTTTTACTTAATTTTAAATAACAAATCTAATCTAGAATCATGTCTTTCCATTCAAATATTAAAAAAAATATAACTCCATACTCACTACAGTGAGTGACAGGGTTGGCGATTTTTTTGATTTTTTTTAAAAAAATCAAAAAAATAAAAAATCAATGATTTTTTATATTTTTTATGATTTTTTTTATTTATTTGATTTTTTTGATTTTTTCAGCTTTTTTGTCTTTTCAAGGTGTTATTTTTTAGGTTGCAATTAGCCTACAAACAATAACAGTATATGGATCATAATGGATGGCTAAAAAGGGCACTTATTGCCTTCAATAATGGCCAACAGGCCAAGGTGGTGTTTACCACTTAGGGATTTTTGGGTAAACAATTATTGAAAAGTCTATACATTAGCTTTGTAAAGTTTGTATGGAGCAAGGTAATTAGCTAAATATTGACCATTTAACTGGCTTCAATATACAAAAACACTTCAGGAATGCAGATCTTCTAAACATTGAAGAGCCACATAACAGATAGGTAGCTGATAGCACAGTGCACAACACCATCAATAGATCTACTTGTTTTATGTCCTATAAATCTACCAGACTCTACCTTCTATACACACCGACTAGTAGTGACTGAGTGACTGACTGCACTGTTCCCATTTAATTCAGACCAATAAACCAATATTATCATAAACTGAACGATAACCAAACAAACCTCATACGACTTAATTGAAACGAGACTTAAGTTATGAGAAAAGCTAACACTGTTTGAAATAAACATGTGCGCTATTCAAACATTGTTTCTAGTTTTAAATTCACATATTTAAAGATTGAAATTAAATATTTTAATTAGAATACTCGTATTAGGGTGGATAATCTTTATAATTGCCTAAAAGGTCAATACAATCTCAACCTCTCAATATACAAGGTGAGCAGAACCGATTGAGCAGTTTTGAGGTAAAATAAAAGAGTAATGGAGGTACATAAAGAAGAAAGTTTATTTTCCTAGAGGTTAGCATAACCTACCATTTAGAACACTTATGTTTTGAAAACAATATTTGGAAGATGGGGGCTGTTAGCTGCGACACACTGTTGGAGTTGTTCTCAGACGAGGGAGTAACCGTAACAGTGAATTCCGATCGCTATGCTGCAATGTTGCAAAATTTCTTGCAGCCTACGATGGAAAACATTGTTGAAAATGATGCATTGGGAGATGTGTGGTTCCAGGCTTCCAGCAGGATGGGGCTACAGCTCACACAGCCCGAATGTCACTCAATGTTTTGAAACGCATCTTTCATGTAGGTCTGAGGGGTGATTTACAGTAGCCTGCGAGGTCACCTGATTTGATCATTTGTGATTTCTTTCTTTGGGGACATCTAAAAGAAAGGGGTTCAGAAGTCGCCCTCACACCCTACCACAGCTAAGGGAACGGATTATTATCCAACAGTGTGATGCAGCTAACAAACCCCATCTTCCTGATATTGTTTTCAAAGCATAAGTATTTTAAATGGTATGTTATGCTAATCATGAAGAAAATAAACTTTCTTCTTTATGTACCTCCATTACTCTTTTATTTCGCCTCAAAACTGTTCAATCAGTTCTGCCTGTCCCTGTATAAGCTAGCTAACACATTTAAATTGTATATTGTAATCAATCTATAACAAATAGTCAAATAGTTAAAGACTACTTATAGCCTTATAAGAATTAGCTAAGCTGCTAGCTACGTACAATGTATTGCACACTTGATGCCCCTGTACCAAAAACATTCCATTTATTGGAACCTAATATACACTAAAGGCAACAAGTTTACATGCCAATTTGTCATTCATAATACATTTATACTAAACCATGAATAACAATACCTCAATATAAATTAAAGACTGCTACTCAATATTTTTAAATATATGAAAAAATAAAAAAAAAATAAAAAAAATCGAAAAAAATAAAAAAAATCACGATTTTTTTATAAAAAAAAAATCAAGTGATTTAATCACATGATTTAATCATTTTGATTTAATCATTGCCAACCCTGGACTGAGTGACAGAGAGCGCATTTTCTCGTCCACGAAAACATGAAGTCACGGACGGATGGACAGACAGACGGACGGACATGACGAGTACAATAGTGCATTTTTTCCATAAATGAGAAAATGTGCTAAAAAAGCGTTCGACTTGCAAAACATACCAGGAGAAGGGCCTTTGGCGTTGTCTAGCACAAAGTAGACGTCAGTTAGGTATCTGTGAATGTATTTCTTGACGACATCAATCATGCGGTTGCCGACGACCGGCGCTACGCGTCGTGTGAAGCACATACCGCGCACCTTCTTCACCTGTCCCTGGTCTGTCCACTGGCGAATTAGAGAAAATATTAGAAACGCGTTGCAAGTAGCTAAGCACGCATTCACAATATTTTGGCTAAGTATTGGCTGGGTTTACAGATTTCAAACACATTTCATATTACATACGCATTTTCACATTTCATACATATTTCATCTGTATTTCATATTTCATCCGCAGGTATTTCAGATTTCATATGTATTTCATATTTCTTGCGTGATGGTTACTACAGACACGTTGCTATCTAGCGGCGAGTTTCACTATTTTGCATTTATAATTTTGCAAAGAAACGTGGATGAAAAAATATAGGAAAAGATGGTGAAATGAAAACACTTTTCTTATAAGAAAAACATTCACATCACTAGATTATAACGCCTAGTTAAACTTCTGCTAAAAAAGAAGTCTTGCATCTAACAGTAAGGGCTGAATGAAAGAATTGAAGGTGTATAAAAAAGTGTCTTGAAATACTTTTTATATGTTTACCACTAAGACATACAATGCAGAGCATATGCAATATATGAGCAAGATATCTTACCACGAATGGTTTGAGTTCTTTTCTGACAGGACAGGTAAACTCAACTACACCAGAGGGGCAAGGAGGCAGTCCTCTCTTGACCATAACGAGCGAGACGCCCTCGTCTGTCTGTAGGAACTTCCTTAGAAGCGGCAATAAACTGTAGCGCAGCTGATCTACTGAGACATCACCCTGAAAATGATGGCTAGAATTAAGTGCAGTCCTTAGAAGCGGCAATAGACTGTAGCGCAGCTGATCTACTGAGACATCACCCTGAAAATGATGGCTAGAATTAAGTGCAGTCCTTAGAAGCGGCAATAGACTGCAGCGTAGTTGATCTACAGAGACATCACCCTGAAAATGATGCTAGAATTAAGTGCAGTAATTAGAAGCGGCAATAGACTGTAGCGTAGCTGATCTACTGAGACATCACCCTGGAAATGATGGCTAGAATCAAGTGCAGTCCTTAGAAGCGGCAATAGACTGTAGCGTAGCTGATCTACTGAGACATCACCCTGGAAATGATGGCTAGAATCAAGTGCAGTCCTTAGAAGCGGCAATAGACTGTAGCGTAGCTGATCTACTGAGACATCACCCTGGAAATGATGGCTAGAATCAAGTGCAGTCCTTAGAAGCGGCAATAGACTGTAGCGTAGCTGATCTACTGAGACATCACCCGGGAACTGATGGCTAGAATTAAATGCAGTTCCACACACAAAAATGGATTCAAAATGAGCGTTTTATAAATAATAAAAAGGGAGAACAGGGTAAAGGAGAGCTAAACTGAAACCGAAATGAGAAGACAACTTTAGTGGATTCTTGCATTATTGAATACAAAATTTTGAAAAATTAGGTATGACAAAAATAGTGAAAACTATCAAAATAGTAAGGCAAATAATGTTGATGAACTAAAAAAATTTGTATTCGCAAATTCAAAATTATGGCTGGCAGGTGAGACTTCATAAAATTTTTGCTGAATTGAAAAAAACTATGAAACATTTGATGCATACCTTGGCATTTTTTCACAGCATACTTTTTGAAGAAATAATATTCAACTGTTTTGCATGCAAGATAATAAATGCCAATGTTAGAGTAGGTAGGTATGCCTTGCCTGATGCAATATTCAATGGCTTGCAAATTATTAAACTGAAAAAAGTAGTTAATATTTCAAAGATTGTCTTTTAGCAAAGAAGAATTTAACATTTAATACATCGACATAAAATGCTAGCTAATAATAGAATTTCAGGTCACATACATTGCAATTTGTGATGCCTTTGAGGGTGAGATGAATCGGACGCTTGCAGAACGGAGCCAACATCATTACCGGCTCAAGGTAATACCTGCAAAATCAGTGATACACTAATTATCATGCAATGCAATACCTATGTAATTATTTCTGCAGTACAATCATGACATTAAATTCATTGATTGAATCATGTACTATGTTTTTAATAACAAAAATAAGAGCATTATAAAATAGATCTTCACATCTTTCATATACCCATTAGACATTGCAAAACAAAAGTGCAAAACTATAATCATTATAGCATTATCTTCACATTTTCCTACCAGAATAGTAGAATATAGGTACCTAATACAATGTAATGAAAATTTTCAAGTCAACAGGAAAAAAAAATATTTCATCCAGTTGTTTAGGCACTGTGAAAAGAATTTTGAGTTGGCAACTGTGAGGCATTTCAGAACAAGAAAGGAAAGATAAATGTGATGAACAAGTTTATTTAAGCATTTTCCATGACTAACTTTTAGCCAAGACAAAATTTCACTTTACAAATCAGCTAGATATTCAGATCTTACCCAATCCCTCTTGAAGGTTCACAGGTGTGTGTGATGCTTCCACCAATGAGGATGCCAGGGATAAATGTGAAGCTGGTACCAGACCTACTGACCTCCAACTTTGCCCCATTGCAAAGCTGGTCAAACAGTCTGATGAGGTTCATTTCATGCTCTGCAAAGATAATAGGCATTACAAAATGTAGAGTGTCATTTTATGAATATTATTAATGGTAACAAGCATAATAAGGGATTCAGAGATTACCTAGTGATCATTGATTGAGCCACTGATTCTCTGACATTTAATATGCCTATCTAACACTATATAATTTGATTAGCCTATTATACCGTCAGCCAGGGCTACTTGGGACGGTTTTGAGCATTTTTTGTCAATAACTTCTTACCATGAAACATTTCATAAACAAGTTTGGGCTCATTTTAAAGGTCTTTGCAAGGGTTATTGTATGGCATCTCCAAAAAATTCCATATGCTATTTGTAAGGTGCTTGACATAATATAAAAGGCTCCTGAATTAATCTGGAAATGGGGTAAAAAGGGACACTTGAAATAAAACTTCATTTTGAAATATTTTAAGCATGCAGAGTGTACTCATCCATTACTAACAGTACTCTGAAGTCCTCCTCTTTCATTGTAGATGATGTAGAGGTAGAATAAATGACATTTTCTGTGATTTTTACTCATTTTCCTTTATTGATATCACCATATACATTGATTACCATATTATTGATGTGATATTACCATATTATTGATGTGATATTACCGTATCCATGAACACGCCATTGAGCATTTACAACAACCTTGTCCACTGCAAGCTTCATATCAGCAGCCTTATGGCATTTTTTCTGTATCTGTAAGCTTATAGGGCGGCTTGTAATTTCACACCATTTTAATTGGGTTAAGTGAATTTACTATAAAGAAGAAGATCGTGAAAAACATACCTGAAACAGAAAGGAATGTTTTAGTGACAACCATCATATGTTTTGCAGAAATAAATCATAGTTTAGTTCAATTACTTATCATTCTACGATGCCTGGTGCACAATTCTATACCTATATGACATTCTATGCACAATTTTGTGATGACCGATGATGTATTAATTTTTCGATAAGTGAAATTTTTTTTTGCCGAGCGAGGTAAATGTAATCAATATTCTTTGTTTTTAGTCAATTTTATTCTTGACTGGAGCCTTTGCTTACAGTGGTTCTACTGTAAATGCGTTTTTGGGGGTGTCCTGAATAGCCCTGGGGGGGAAGGGTGTCCCGAGTAGCCCTGCTGTGCGGAAATGGCTGCCATTTTTTGGCGATTGAGGTAGTACCGGTATGTAAATACTGTAAATAATGTTTTCAAGCCAACACCTAGGTGCTACTTTTATGTAAGTGAAATTTTTTAATATGGCAAATATTTTTTTTACTACAGACCTTAGCAGACGTAACTTTTCTAAATAGCGTTTTTCACCATTTTTTTCAGGAATTTTTCAAAGCTAGTAAATGTAGTACGTAGCAGCATTTTTCAACTTCCTTTATACGGTACTACATAGATAGGAAAAATGTTGACGTTTACGCCACTATATTTAGTTTTGCAATATTCCAATTAGTTTTGCTATACCATCAACCGGGGCTACTCGGGACAAGCGGGGCTACTCGGGACAGGCCTCCGACACAGTGTATAACTGTTGTAGTAGCAAAACTAATTGGAATATTGCAAAACTAAAAATAGTGGCGTTAACGTCAACATTTTTCCTATCTATGTAGTATAAAGGAAGTCAAAAAATACTACATTTACTTGCTTTGAAAAATTCCTGAAAAAATGGTGAAAAACAATATTTTGTAAAGTTACAACTGCTAAGGTATGTAGCAAAAAAAATATTCGCCATATTAAAAAATTTATTTACCTAAAAGTTGCACACAGGTGTCGGCTTGAAAACGTAATCGACAGAATTTGCCTATCTCATTCCAAAAAGAAATGGCAGCCATTTCCGCACGGCGGGGCTTCCCCCCCCAGGGCTATTCGGGACACCCCCAAAAACGCATTTATGGTCAAACCTCAGTTAGCAAAGGCTCCAATTACGAAAAAAATTGATTAAAAACAAAGAATATTGATCACATTTTCCTTGCTCAGCGAAAAAAAATGTCACTTATCAAAAAATTAGTGCATCATTGGTCATCACAAAATTGTGCATAGCATGTCATGTATAGAATTGTGCACCAGGCATCATAGAATGAAAAGTAATCGACCTAAACTATGCTTTATTTCTCCAAAAGATACGTTGGTTGTCACTGAAACATTCCTTTCTGTTTCAGGTATGTTTTTCATGATCTTTTTTACTATAGTAAATTCACTTAACCCAATTAAAATGATGTGAAATTATGAGCCGTCCTGTAAGCTTACAGATACAAAAAAAAATGCTATAAGTCTGCTGATATGAAGCTTGCAGTGGACAAGGTTGTTGTAAATGCTCAATGGCATGTTCATGGATACGGTAATATCACATCAATAATATGATAATTGCACATCAATAATACGGTAATTAATGTATATGGCAATATCATATCAATAAAGGAAAAATAAGTAAAAATCACAGAAAATGTCATTTATTCTACCTCTAAATCATCTACAATGAAAGAGGAGGACTTCAGAGTACTGTTAGTAATGGATGAGTACACTCTGCATGCTTCAAATGTTTTGAAATGAAGTTTTATTCCCATTAAAGATTGTCCCGAGTAGCCCTGTCGGTCAGGGCTACTCGGGACAATCTTCATTTTGTGTCTGGCACCTTACGAATAGCATATGGATTTTTTTGACAATGCCATTCGATAGCCCTCGCAAAGAGCTATAAAATGAGCCTAAATTTGTTTATGAAATGTTTCATCGTAAGAAGTTATTAACAGTTATTAACAAAAAAAAAAAACGATCAAATCTGTCCCGAGTAGCCCCGGTTGACAGTAACAGTTTTAAGCCGTGTTGGAGGACTGTCCCGAGTCGAGTGCCGACGGACGACTGTCGAGTACTGACGGTACTCGATTGAAGGCATAACAGAAAATATGCATGTAAAGGAATACCTAACAGAGAATATTTGGCATAAAGGCATCACAGAGAATATGCGAGTCAGGGAATAGCAGGGAATGTGAGTCAGTGAATAGCAGAGAATGCGAGTCAGGGAATAGCAGAGAATGCCTGAGTAAAGGAATAACTGAGAATGTGTTAATTAGGGGCACTGAAGAATGTGTGAATAGTGGAGGATGAGTGAATACAATAAAAATTGAGCATTTATGAATAGAGAAATTAATGAGAATTGTGCATAAGGAAATGAAGGTAAATATATTATAATTATGATCATAATGTGTAATGAAACTGTTACCCATAATTATTACCATAAAATGGGGTAACTTAGACCACTTTTTCTATAAATGCCATTTTTTTACTAGCTAAATTAAACTTGAATTGAAACATGCAAAATACAGGTCTGTACTCTAGCTTCACTCACGATAAATTGCTGGCTCCTGTCTCTCATAGTCTTTATGTAATTTTGAAAAAAAGTGATGTTCTTTGTTACTCCAGCTCTTGGTGTATCTTAGACCGGGTGGTAAAATCAATTATATTTTTTGGTAAAATAACTCCAGGTTTAGGTGCATTGTAGTAAAACTCTTCTAGTTATATATGCAAATGACAAACTTGAGGAAAGTGTCATAGTTTGCAAATGGGGGGCGCCGCCCCATAATGAGGGAAATGTGACTACCTAATGGCAGCGCTGATGGGGAAATATTAACTGGCTTGGAAATTAAGTTAAAATTACCATATATAAGACTGTAGAGTATGAAACATAAAGAAAAAACATAAGTAGGCTGTCAAACAGAAAATATGTTATATATGGTAATTTTATATTAAATTCCAAGCCAGTCTATGTTACCCCGTCAGGGCTGACATTAGGTGGTCCAAGTTCCCCCATTTGGGGGCCCCGGGGCAGCGCCCTCCCATTTGCAAACTATGACACTTTCCTAAATTTTATCATTTGCATATGTAACTAGAAGAGTTCTAATACACTGCATTAAAACCTGAAGTTATTTTACCAAAAAATAAAAAAATTGGAGAGGGTACTCCAACAGGCTTTAAATAATAGCTCTTTTTCATGGGTCACATTATTAATTTTTTAACCTATTACATATGCAAACTTTTTAAATCTTTCTATTGTGTTACAAGTTACATAGCCTCAGTATTAGGCCTTTGATGGCCATTGACAAAATTTTTCTATGTCAAATTGTTTTTGAGTTTTGGGGGTTTTTGTTAGAAAAACGAAAAGTGGTCAAAGGTAGCCAGTCAAACCGCCAGTCAAAGTAGGGTAAATGCGTTATATTCTGACACATTAAGGACGCATTGAGAAATGAAAAACTATAAAAAAATAACCGTATGCATTACTCGAGTTCTGTTCGCTTTACGTGACTCGCAAAACACCGTACTACGCGCCAGCAATGATGAAACGTCACAAAATGTTGCCATATTTATTTAAAAGCTTTTAGAATGCAAAACTAGCAAATCCCTATATTCCGACACTGTGTGTGGCAATATTCGGCACATGGTGAGGCATATTCCGTCCGCGCTTCAAATTCTACTGATACGTAATGCCGTCATCCACGTGTTCAAATTCCATTCACTGTGTGGACCATAGTGGCAAAGCAGAGAGTTTTTTAGAATTTAGACTCTCCCTCAAGTTCATTTTTGAGTCCTATAAGTAGACCAGTAAAGTATCCTGGATACTAGCATCATCATACTTAAGAAATTGGTTTAAATCTTGGGTAAATGAGGAAATTGAAAATGAACTGATTCTAAAAAAGCTGTGGTTTGCCACTATGGTGTGGACTCACCTGGCAGAGCACTGTCTGTAGCCAAGGAAAGCATTCCACCTTGGGTGGAAAGCTTTTTTATAAGTGAACCTCCATTTCTTTTCTAGAATTCCACCCTGCAAGTAGGTAGCACATTTTATTAAAATAATTGTTTGCCGTGAAATTTTTGGAAGAATAAATCATGACTAGGCAGGCTAGCCTACCTACCTATGAATAATTAGGTAGGCCACTAGGCCTACCTAGCTAGGTATTAGGATGGATTCATGACAGGCTTGACAGCTGCATGCATCAATAATGAACAATTATTTCTATTACGAGAATGACTTACCACAAACTCCGGGACATTCATCTTTAGCTCGAATATTATTTATTTTAACTTTTTTCCCACTCAAACATGATAGAACGAGCCGTTGTCTTAGAAAATTGCAACCTTCGTATACTAAATCTTTATCAAACTCCGACGCCATTGCATTTATTCCAGATGTATATTTGATTTAACAATACTAGCTTACGTATGAAAGCTCAATAGCATAGGTAAGTCCCTTCTCAACTGTCAACACTGTCTCTCAAGAGTCAAGACTCAAGATGTGAACCACGCACTCAACGTAAGTACGTAACGCAATGTACCATGCGTGAACAGTGTGATGTGTGCTGGCATTATAGTCAGAACATGTTTACGACCGCGGGAGGAATCGCTATAAAGCATTCATTATTACCACAGAGAATTTTGCCTAGTGTAGACTCGACAGGAGATATCAATAAAAATTCATAAAAACAATCGTAGACAGCATAAATATTTGAATTTTGATTGCTATTGACATTACAGGCTTCAAATTTAAGTATCTGTAGTCAATTCAAGGCTAATTTTTCTGCAGAAAATTTCTTGTAAATAAAGTCATAAACGATCCTATGAATTGTCAGTTCAATAATTCATAAAACCAGTAATAAACGATCATTTGCGTAAACGTAGAATTATTTGCATTAGTTTGTAAATCGGATTTTATACCTTCACTTGTGCTCCGCTATGCATTCGGACAAAATTGCGCAGGCTTTAGCGTGAGCTAAACCGCGCGGCCATCCCCATCCTGGTTTGGCAGTCGACATACCCTATTCACTCAATTCTTAACCAATTATTAATAAACTGAATTCACAGTTTTTAATGCTCATTGCACTGTTGCGATATTTTTTCGCATTTTACCCTCCTCGTGTCTTCAATAAAAGAGGCATAACGCGCGGAAACGTTCGAATTCAGTTGATTCAGTACGCTTTATTTCCTCAGTTCTTAATCAATAATTAGGAAAATCAAGATTTATTTTCACTGCTCGTGCTATCGCGACAATTATAATTATCACCTTCTACCGTTTTCGAATTAAACGATACAATGGGCGATAGCCATGGTTGAACTATATTCTACTAGTTCAACCATGGGCGATAGCAGGCTAATTCAGCCGGTTCGGCGCGCATTTTGTCCGCAATTCGTAACTATTCTATCAGTGAAACATATTTACCAATACATAAAAAAGCGCATATCGCATAAAGAAATTAGTTCAATTATTGAATTAGAATATTTTTTTTGTAGATAAAACCTAAAGGTTGGTCATTTTCTAGTGTGGCTTTACAGGATATAGGGAAGACATTGTTATTATTTCCTAAATGCTTTTTTCATTGATCTTTTTTTAGTTTTAAGCGCGAAACTTGAGGTTATTTCATCTGAAGAACAAATATAACTTTTACAATGAACCATTCCAATAGAAAATTTTGTAGGCATCATGTATTTTGCTTTTTGACGCTTATTCGGCATAACAGGTTGATGAGAGGTAAAAAAAACTGGGATCACCTTATATTTAAACAAACCCTAGTATAACAAACAGGAAAATTACTCATTTCTTACGCAGACAAAACTATGGAATCTTTTTCATCTTCGACGTAACTTCATTCTAAATTGGAAGCTTGCGTATAAATATTTCTATCTTGAAATGTTGAAGCCGTAATAGCTGGTGGTCATTAAAATCGCATTATTTAATTATAATTCGAGAAAGCGCCATAGTGCTTATAAACCCAATTGACATTTTCCCAAGCACGGCGGCGCACTCGGCAACGGACTTGTACAGAAAAACGTACGTTTTGGGCCAGTGGCCAGTGCATAACTCTATCAGTGAATTAACGCTCGTTAACGGTTATTTCATATAATTGCGCATTTATATAAATGTGTCATACTTTCAATCAAATCGGTTCAAAAATGACGAGGTTCTGAGCTGGGATATTTCTCAGAACGTGCGTGTTTGTGTTTGGGATTCTGGGTGGTTCATGAATAAAAATTACCTACGTGTATGAAGAAAAATGTCGAAAACATATTTTTTAAATATATTTGGTAATTGTTATTTATATCGTTTCGTTATTTACCTTATTCCTTGTATCATTATCGTATGATCTAAATCAAGTGTAACTTCTGGAAGTGTTACGGATTGAATATGGATTGTGTGTTTTTATGCAGGATTTGTTGTAGCTTCTTATATATACTTGCGAGGATAAAAATTAAACAAATTGTCACAGTTTCAGTGTACTTGAATTTTAAACTCAATTTTTGTCAAACTCGCTGACAATTTCCGCCCGTAAGTAAATGTGAATTCATTATTATGAATAGTAATTTGTCTTCGTCATTATTAATTTAAAATTTATTCAGTATTAATCTCAATGAAGCAGCGATAAATAATTAATAACTCAGCAAAAACGACTAGAGTGGTGCCTTCCAAGACATCAAAATGGCGGTGGAAGCACAGCAGTCCCACGAAGGTTTCAGGCGTGGGAAAATGAGCGAGTTTAAGTCATTAAAACAATCCATCACATCAGGTACATGATTTATTTAAGTTTAACTTAAGATCAGTGAACAATAACTCGTAGAATCAATTATAATTATGTGTTAACAATGAGTGGCGTTTAATTTACTGTAATTAAGTTGGATAAACACATTAACTGACTATGCAAGATTGCGCCATGATCGATAATATAATTATTTTATCGATTATTATATATTATATTTTAATTATATTATCGAAATTATTCATGCAGCGCAACACAACACCCATACTGCATTCTGCATGCTCCGTTGATCTGCGAGCTGTGCATCTATGCAAGGTTGAAGGACGCCATTTATAAATGCCGCTGCATAATTATAAATATTATTATTGTGCGTAGTCACTGCACTAGCTGTACGCCATATCTGGCTGGTGAATCAATTGATTTGTACATCTATTGGCAAAATAACGGCTTAATAATGAATTATTTCAGGTAAATAGGCTGAATATATTTTAGGTGAAATATATTTAGGCTGAACATATTTAGGTAAAATAACGGCTGAATAATGTAAACTTTCAGGCCTATCATGATTTCATTTTTCAAATACGTCTGTTGTAGAATTAGTGCAACTGTAGCATAAACCTCGTCTTGAATAAATTGTATGTAAATAAAAACTTGTCATGAGATGTCGCAGCTCCCGGAATTGACTTGCACAGCTGCAGCTTATTATAATACAAAGCCCCAAGCTCGTCACATTCAGTGGCCTTATCTCTAGCTTCTTCCCAAGGGTAAGCGCTTACCCTAACAAAATTTAGAGTCGCCCCAGCTTCTGGTAATCCAAATCAGAAGCTGCTGCGTCCGTAAATTTTTACTGGGTAGTATGTTAATCGAAGCGTCGATGTTGCGCACAACGAGAACAAGAATAGATGAGGAACATGAACTGATTCACTGCAAGTTGTATGGACTAAATGTGATGCATAGGCAAGCGTTCATTATAAATTTTGCCTGCAGTAGAAGACGGACATGTCGAGCATATCTGGATGTTGGTGGCAAATATGTAGGAACTATTCGAACATTCCCGAAATGGTATCGCGCCATGTTTGGTGCAAATTTCGCAACGTCAGAAATTATGAGAAAGAGATGCGGGGCTTCTACAGCATTAATATTTTAATATGTTAATTTGGACGACGTTTCGCAACGTCTCGTCAGTTAAAACATTGACAACAGAAACTACGCAGTTATAGGGACAGGATAGGTCGACTTAGTATGATTTCTGAGATAAGTTAAGTAGCGGTCATCACCAACAGATAAAACCGAGCAAATAAAGATAACAGATAAAACCGAGCAAGTATAAGCGATCATTATCAGCTCAAATTTTTAAGTTGCCCACAACATATCTCTTATAGAACACTCTTATAGAACACTTCAAATAGAACACTTGGGATGCAACGGAGCTGGAGGAACATTGCCGGCTATCGTCTGAAAATTATCTTAAAATCATCCTGAAACCTAAAATTCACCAGAAAATAATTCACGACATACAAGCCACTTTTCCTAGATAAAATAATTACAATCATAGCTTAAACTTGTGAGTTCTGCAGAGGAAAGAGAAGCTGAAGCCCTTTTATGAATTTCCCTGCAGTAATCAAACGATGAATATGTCGGAATTAAATTCTGATTTCAACTAATTCGAAAGACATGAAACCTAAATTAACCATTTTTTGTTCCTTTAAGCTAACATATCTACAATATATAGCATTAAACAAGTGAAAAGAGACCCATTCCAGGCACATGAAACTGCGTAAAATGTCTTCATAACGAACCAAAAGCCAAAAACCAAGAAGTTTGAATAAAGTGAAGAAACTTCCGTCACTGCGGGACACCAAGCAATAGAGGACACAGCCCAACCCGGGTTTTTGCTCCGCACAAGGAAACTTTCATAAAAAACGAAGTGGTTACAGAGAATGCGCTTAAACTTAAATGCTGATTTCAACCCGTAGAACTGAAGTGTTGGAGATATTCATAAAGAAACTGATTAAATGTAAGAACATGGACTAGAATTAATATTTTACACACGGACTTTAACCGAATGGATAATATAAACGATGCCATCGTTCAATGGAAGCATTTTGTGGTAGATACCTGGCTGAGTTACACGATTGTACACCGTGAAGAAGTTATATGCTTATGGGTGCATGGGAGTAATGGTTAATACGTATAAAGCAGTTTCCGTAACTGAAGCAAGTAACATAACATAGTAGATAACCAAGTACATCAGTTTTTAGATATAGATAACTTTTGATTTCATGTTTTGGCGGGGATGTTTTGCAACTTGTTGGTAACAATAGTAGAACCTTAAAACTAAAAAAAAACATGGTAACTGTAGGGTGAATGCACCAGTCGATTTATTATTAAACCGTAGTAACTTAATTTATTATTTAACCGTAGTAACCTAATTAACGAATGCAATTCATTTACAGCCTGTGATATCAAGCATGCCTAGTTTTGATCTCCAGCTTATTGAAGATCAATATGTATTTTTCATCAGCATTGCTGGATGGGGTTTTCACTATTGGTTTTATGACATCGAGATAAAAGTGAAAACCCAACGCATGTCTATGTAAACTAGGAATTGGAGAAAAACGAACCTACCTAGTGTAAAAATAAAATTCGTCTCGAACTGCGAACTTTGGCGCGAAATGCGAAATGCTTCTCTTTGTTTTCCTGACTCATTTTCTGTATGTACTCCATAATTTAGTATTTTTGACATTGCCACTTTGAAAATTCATATGGGTGTAAAATTTTTTGCTTCATCTACCACAGTTGATCAACATCTTTTAGGAATCAATTACCCCTTGGAGGTCTCGTACAGTCGCCAGATAAAACCGGGTACCACTGCGTACTACAAGAACCTCTTATTATCTTCAAATATGTACAAATTTTGTGTTAAATAAGAAATGTCGTATCACTAAAGTTTGATTTGGACGGTGGGCTGCTGAGACCAGTTGAGTGTCGTGTTACAACGGTTGCTAATCATTTTCATATTAACAGTGATCGGCAGCAAACATTGCAGTGAAGTAAAAAAAGTAAAAAAATATAACTCAGTACTCACTGCAGTGAGTGACAGAGAGCGCATTTTCTCGTCGACGAAAACGTGAAGTTACGGACGGACAAGGAGACAGACGGACGGACAGACGGACATGGCGAGCACAATAGTGCATTTTTTCCATATATGAGAAAATGCGCTAAGAATCACGAAGCATTGTACTAGTGTTTAGCCATTATTGTCTTTTTATAGAGGAGCTTTCTGACATCCAAACCTTGCTACGGGACGTACATATCATGTTCGACAGTAGAGCTGCCATTGTTATTTTGACAGAATCTTACGCAACAGATTGAAGATAGAACAAAACTATGCAAGTAAGAAGGCATCGAGTAGCAACGTGACCATAATTTTGCCTTTAAATATATTTACTTCATTTCCGATAAAACTTTGGGTCCAAACTTGTAGACCAGTTTGCGCTCAGGGACCGACACCAACATCCTCGACTTGTAATGATACCTGTGAAATATACAATACTGTTACATAAAATACAATCTTCACTGGTGCACGTAATATGAATTAGAAGTAAAATTTTTTTAATATCAATTAGCTACTTCATCGCAAATAGAATTATCGATGCAAAGTGATTATTCAGCGCATCTTTAAATTATTTCGAATGTGAGCACAAAATCAAAATTTACATAATTCTCTACTGCAGCTTCCAGCATAACCATCCGAGAATTTCATCCAAAAGTAAGTTAAAAATAGTAACGCTTAAACCTATTCCGAAACACCACTTTATTTATCCAATCATTACATAAATATCAAACTATAAACGAACCTCAAAGCTCTCGCGAAGTAGTCGTACGATAAGTTGTCTTTCTTCTCTCGTCGCTGGCCCCACTTCCGTGCGATAATTTCCTGTTCCTTGAGACGAAACACGCCGTTCGATTTGTCTTCCCATCGTATGATAGAAGGATTGCATTCAGGATTTTCTAAAAGATCCAACAGAAACTCCCATAATTTTCTACCTCTCTTCCTTCGACTTGAAGTCTTGACTGGAGCGCATTTAGCTGCAAATGAGACAAACAAATGATCAAATATTACCATAATCGTACGGCGGTAACCAAGAGATATGTTTTGTCGCAGAAAAATAATTTGTAGTTCATATATAATGAAGAGAGAAGTTCACATAACATGGTAATATTTATTACATTAAAACAAAAATTTATTAAGCACTTAATTGAGTCACACCAAAATCAGGATCGATTTATATCAATGCAGGCATCCGCAGACTATCCCTTAATGCCTGAATAATTTGAATAGAGTATACAGTATCCATATATTCAAATTAGTTGTTTTCTAGTTGAGAAGAATAATGTCCTGCCAACTTAATAAACAACAGTATTAGCCTATAATTCAACCTCACCTGCTGGAACTGAATCCAAATGCAACAGACTTTCGGGCAGTGATTCCAGCGACACCTCTGGACTGGTGTCGCATGAAATTGAGTCTAAGGTCGTAGGCAATAGAATTTCTTGTGGCGAATTCAGATCATAAGTCATCGCCGGGTTAGAATTCGATTCTGGAGATCTCGCATGGAAATTTTCGTCTGCATCTTTTTCGGAGGTCAGAAAAGAGTCATGGGAACTAGAGTTCATTTCATGAGCCTCGACAGATTGCGGAATAAATTGAATCTGACCGCTTAATTCTTCAGAAGACCCAACCCCGCTGTCAGTGGCCTCATCTTCACGTGGCGAAGGATAGAAATTATAGATTGGCAGCGAGTCTATTTCATTTAACTTAATAGAGTTCATCAGTATGTCATTTTCATTGTTGTTTGTAGAAGAATCTTGTTGGAATTGGGATTCGGTTTCTTGAGATGTCCTCAGATCAATGGCAGAGTTGGCTTCTAGAGAACAGACATCAGCCGAATATGCGGAGGTCGGACTCACTGAAATGCCGCCTTCAAGAAATCTAACGGTTTCTGAATGGTAATTCGCAAATGCGGAATCTACAGACAAACTTCTCACTTTGAAACGGTCGTGCAAACCGGCATTTTCAGTAATAATTTGGTTTAGCTTTTGTTGTGAATTTGTATTTTCATGAACAGGCGATTCTTTGACTACTACTGAATTGACGTAAACATAACCGGACGTTGCCAGAGCATCTTTCAGGCATGGGAAAGATTTGAAAATGTCCTCTGCTAAGTTCTGTTGAGTCTCAGGCACCATCAATGGCAAGGTTTCAATTGACGATTCATGGGCAGTTTTCTGGCCAGTTGGATGCAACATTTCAGTAAACTGCATTTCTGCCGGGCTGAGGTCATAGAAGACTTGATCAGAAGCTGGGTGAAATTCTTCCGGATTGTCCACAAGCTTGGGACGACTGCAGTTTTCTTCCCCTTCGGCACATGGGAAGAAGTCGTAGTTTTGAACATCTGGGAACATACCAGATTCTTCGTAACTGGAAGCATCCAGATACGGCTGAGCTAAATCCAGCACTTGAGTCATCACTAATCTGGATATGGAGGTAATCCTTCTGAGATGTTCTTTTTGAAACTGAAAACGTGAGTCTCTTCACTGATACACTTAACTATAACGTCACTGAAACTAATTATGCAGCTTAACTCACTCATCTGGAATATGCAGAATATTCGTATAACATCAGTCGCACAGCTTTTGGTTTCCTGGTGTGACCCAGGCTTGGGAAAAATCAACAACAACTATATGAAGTTTTTCATAATTGGGAAGAAGACTTTTGGTGTCGTGCATAAGCACATACACCGGCCTGTAAATGCAGTTATGCGTCCGTGTCTGACAAACCATGAATGCAATCGAAAAATACAGGATATTTTCAGCTCGCATTGGCACCACGGCTAAGGATCAGTATCTGTATGTAATAAATTACAGCGAGATTTTCAATCTGTTGTTTAATTTTATTGTCACTTTTTATACCAACTTGACCGTTATATTTTTAAACGTTATATATTGCAATTGAAAAGGCTTTCATGACGGGCAAAAATATTTAATATTTACGTATATAAAATATGAAATTTTTTGATAAATCCTAGATGTTTAAATTGAGCAAGAATGATCATGTTCCTAACCTAAAATGAGCAAATTGGTAAATTCTACAATGAAGATATAAAAATTCATTTAAGGAGGCATTAAAATAAGGTTAAGTTTAACAGCAAGTTTTTTATGCAGGTTATGGCACATGAAAAAATTATATACCTATAGCAGGCCGTTCAGTTCATCTTACCTTTCATTTTCGCTTCATGCGTAAAATCAGAGCCTGCTATTTCATTCTCAGGTATATAATAAAATGTTTTCAACAAAATTGTGCCTAACGATAAAAAATAACTTTATTGGTAGTCAGATCATTTTTATCCGTTGTAGGTACTGATTTATGGAACTCTTTTCGTGTTGACAAATATGACATTTTTACTATATGTATGAGCAATGAACTTTTTTCTTAAAAAGACATTTTATGTCTGTGTTGGGATAAAAACCAGCATTCGAATTTTGAATTTCTATCCACGCCCACGGCGAATCCGCGTTCCGGAGTAAGACTAAAATTTTGGCGGTATAAACACGGCGTCCTCTGTGTTGAGGACAACATTTAACCAAAGTGACACATAGAAATGCGAAAATTCATAAGTAAAATTAAATTGTGACATGTCGTTTGGTAGTCTTTTATGTGTGGACTTATAATTACTTTTTACAATGAACTTATTTCCAATCGATGTGGCAAAATTTTTAAGATTTGCTGGTGGTCATGTGTAGCTCTAGTGTTCTACCTCTTAATTAAAAAAGGCTTAACATATGTGCTCTAATTCTGTAAGAATTATGTTCAAGTTCTCTCCCGATAACATTAATACCATGAAACTATATTTCTGATATATCTAGGAATTATTTTCTATATCAGAATTACCAACATGAATTGTGTCCGAGTTTTCATAATTAAGTGATTTGAGCCAAGATTATCTTACATATTATTACCTATCTTATACATTATAACTCATCTTATATATTATAACTTATCATGTAATTGAATATTTCCTGAATTCACACACAATCCAGTTTGGAATTTGGTGTTGCTTTACTATTCCCTACTGCGTTAAGTTGAAGTCTCCATACTTAACTTTAATTTCGGTTTAAATCTCCATACCTAACACTTACTATATTCTTAAATATAAACAAAAATATAAGTATGGATATTATTTACGACAAAAGTGGTGCAATGGTGAACAACTCTTCTGTCGCTTGCAGAACACAAAATTTAAAATGCTTTATTGAATCAGAGGTCTTGACTAATTTCATCCGGCACATGTAAACGTATTTTCGATGATTTTCAATTGCGTCTATTAATTTAGATATGTATCATCACACAAAAAGCATGTTCCTCACTTCAATTAGTTATCCCGCACCAACATTTTGCGGAGCGACGTACGCCTACTCCACTTGACGCTCACTCACAGAATGCAGTCGGTCCAATTTAACTGTTTCAAGAATGCGCACACCTAACTTTAACGGACAACTTGCGAGAGCCACAACCAAGAACCCGTCCTCGGCAACCACTAAGAAAGGTTTGATTGCATCACTGATGCCCACCGAGCTTTTATATCCTGGCAATTCTGAGCCTAGCTTGGCTGTAAAAAACATCCTCACCGGCACTGAAATTGCTACTCGAGAATTACGAATGATATCCATCAGGATGTTACCGAAACTGGAGCCAGTAACTTCCTCGAGTCTATGCAATTTGACAGTTTTTCTAGTGCAGTATTTATGACGTAAAACATAGATGTACGTGATTTGTGAACACGTATTTTTCATAATAATGCCGTATGAATGGAATTTAATTATGATGGAAGTGACCCTCTCAATAAAAATTCCAGGTGCTTTTGCTACTGATTTAAAAGATCGAGATCTAGCACGGAAATTTTCAGGATCGAATTTTATAGCGTATTTATATACGTTATGAACATGAGCACATGTTCATAGCGTCCATCAATTATCTTGTCCTATAATACCTTGTGCTATTACCTATACCTTTAATACCTATAATACGCACGTCACTTACAGTCGTGTCCAAGCATCCTTTACTTCCTCTGATCGGTGTGATCGCACTGTATAAAATCGTGTATGTAATTAAACCGTCATAGTCGTGGTGCTGACGCGTTGTTGTGCGTCATTAATCGCCGAGTAAAATAACATTGCGAAGCAGCAACTCGTATACCAATTATAATCCTGATTTATATGAACAATGAATTTGATTCTATAAATATAAATTATATGAACTGTAAATTATGAACAACATATCAATATCACAATTGAGTTATTCTTAATCGGGCGTAATTTCATACGAGGATAAAAAATCGTTGCGGTTAGCCACTTGAAGAACTCGTGTTGCCTCAAGAGTTTTTTTATCAATGAATTTTTAAATAATTTCTCACTTAATCGGTAGGATTAAATGGAGTGATTTCTTACTTCATAAGTATAAGCCTGAAGTTCACTCGTGCCAGTGCAATACAATTGTTTTTTCGTCTATGCCATTTTAGTTGAATCCAGCGTTAGGAACAATTTGAAACATAACTCATGGCAACTTTCTAAACAGAGAAGCATCATTACGGGTAAATTAAAAATTTGTGCCCTTCCTAGCTTGAGGATAATGAACTTTTTGTATTTATTTTTTATTCATACAGAATATTCAAAGGCATTGTTATGCATGCACGCGATCATTAAAATTTGCCAGTGAGCAGATCAGGCTGCTTTTAATGAACGTAGATCAGCGAATATTTATGTGAAATGGATGATTATGAAAAAGATGTTACAGAATTTTACCATATATTTGAATAAACTTTTAAAGTAGCAGATAATTGGTTAAATGTTTTGACTTCATAGGCATGATTTAGAGAAGTGAAAGCCGATTAGAAGGCTGATATTTCGTGAAGAATGCGTCGCTTTGACTTTTTGTCATACAGAAAAAAATGTGCAAAAGCTGAGGATGAAGATGACTGTTGTGTGCAATTCCTGGTAGCCTTCGTTAGTAAGTAATAATAAAAAAAGTTTTTTTTTTTACTTTTGTGCTGAGTGAGTTTTTTTTCCATTGTCAGCATGTCTTGCAGCGGAAAAAAATGCCTGAACTTTGAGCTATATTTGTGTTCATATAGCTGTGCTTCAACGCCTATGCCGGGATCCAACTAAATTCGATTTCGAATCGAATGTCGGCAGAATGTCGCAGAAGACTAAAAAAGGTCTCACTCAAACTGCTGTGCGTGCAATTAAGTGTAACTGGACATTAATACGAGCAATTATTGAGAAAAGAACTGTGAATCGCTTTGAAGTTCTTGTATTCAGCAAAGGAATTGATAAACTATTTTTTGTTCCAATATATCTTCCTCTGATCCGGTCAGGCGGCAGCCTTGTAATCTGTTCAGGACATAATAATAAATAATAATAATAATAATAGCTGTTTCAGCGTTTATTAGGCCGTAGGCCTGTCGCCGATTCTTAACATCGCAGGACATTCACAGCATTTTGCGGTCTTGAACTCGCAACGCACTGCTACAATTCTGCTGTGCTTAACCGCCCGGCCTCCTTGCCGATTCTGACCAGAAACTGGCGCACAAAGCTGGGATCGAACCCGCGCCTCTCTAGTGCGTCAATCTTGGTACTCTGAACTTTAACCACTGGGCCACCCTGCCCAACCACTGGGCCACCCTGCACATACGGGATTTTCTTCAGAATCTAGGCAATGAGGTTTGATACAATAAAGACGTTCAGGTAGAGTAGAGCATGCACTCTTCGATCTTGAACAAAATTACAGGAAGAGCCAGAGTTGTGCTGTCGAGCCTACACTATGAGATGGGAATCATTTCTCTTGGTCATTTGCCGGGTCACGAGATGACGTTGCTCAAGCGCTAAAAAAATAAGTGGCTCAACAACGATCCGACAAAGTATCTGAGCGTATGAAAGGAAAAAGACAGCTAGTATAGTTGTTGAAATCTTTGACGAAATGTTTGATAAATAAATGATAATAAATTTAAGCCAGTTTTACAGCTGGCCTCGACTTTTATATTTTTGGCTGATCATTGTTAGAGAACGTAATATATTTTGACCCTCTGCTGAGCTACATCGGTCAAGGGATTTTTTTATTGATAATTTCGATGTTTTTGGGACAGTCTCCTTTAACGTCGAGTAAAGAAATGGCACGCAAAAACCGGCTTTTTGATGTTCGAATGTACGTTCTTGGCTTCCTTCACCATCAGCGGCTGCAGCTCTCAGTCATTATATTTTGTTTCCGAATTTTTAATTTATTATCATTTGCATTCTGAAATTTTCATACTTTACAATGCCAAATACTATTGTTAGCTACAATGTTAATACAATGTCAAATGTCAGCCATTCCTATTTAACTTGTCAATACTTTAATGGTAATTTACTGATAAGTATCAAATTTTTGAAATCTCACAAATTGCGCTGAAGAAGTTTTAATCATTTAATGCAACTTCTCCGAAAACCCATTGCGACATTTGACACTCAGCGAAAGATGGTTTTTCTGCCTCGGAAAATCTAGGAATTAATCTTATACTCACTAGATCAGTTGAAATTTTGAAGTTCATCCATTAAAGAAATATGAATTTTTCAACACCAATACGGGAAAATTCTTCGAAGTAAACGGCCCAGTCCCATTGAATCGCAAATGACCTAACACATAGGAAGGGCAACCCGATCGCTGTCCATTTTTTAGGGGTCGCCGAAGACATTTCTGAACCCAGCGTTACACTGATGAATACATTTAACAAACAGCATGCGAACAATAAAGAACAAAACAGGTTTGTCGTGCTTGTTGTTACGAACTGCAAACAGAATCATCCGAACATAAACAATTCAATGCAGAAGCTGTGACGGAGCACCAGTTCAGGAAACAGATTTTGTGCCTTTATTGCTCGA